AATAGCACATATTGTACTCAGACCTTAAAAAATAGAATCGATCATATTTCTTATTCAGGAGATATTATTTAATTTTGTTCATTTCGGAGAAATAATAGATCCTTGAGAATTTCAGAAATACCTTAATACATTTGGCGTTAGGAACGTACCTGGTTGACATGGTCCAGTTTGGGGCAAGGTCTGCCTCCGTTGTAAGGCTTTTCTCTCAGCCACTTGGACCGGACTTTCACACCGCTGCCACAGGACTTGCTGCAGCGGGACCAGTTGGACCACTCACTGAGCTTGCAGTCTGAGGGGCAGGGAATGATGCAGGCCTCTTCTATGTAACCTGAGTAGAGGAAAATTGAACAAGAAGCAAGTTGCTAAGTGTCATTCTCCGTCTCACACCCACCATTCCAGCTCATTTAGAAGGTCCACTTTTGACTTGGCAGCAGCATTCAAATGCAGAGATGCCTGTGTCCTTAGGGACTCAAATTAAATTCTGCAGGGAAATGACACACATACACCACGACTGTGTTAAAATAACAGCCGAGTAGCTGCCATATGATCTGCTTAGGATTCATGCCCACCATGTTTCAACATTTCTGACTTTGTGACAGCTCTTGTTTAATTGACACTAACCTGTTGGCTAACCATCTCACTCTCAGTGCTGCCAGAATGCTGTGAAAAACTCCTAACACAAGATTTCTGTGACACCTTATGTATTAATTAATGCCAGACACCGGCAGGTCTCTGAGTCATCACAGTATTCTTCCTCAAGAAAAGCCAGTCTGTCTCAATAAACATCCGAAAGAATCCATTTAACTTAGCGCCGTATGTTCCCCCTTCCTTGAAAGTCAATTCTGAGGATGGAAATTGAAGGATGTTATGCAAACAATGCTTCATATCCCCACAGCGCTGTTACTATCAAAGGCATACCTCATCTTGGGTCCATTTGACTCTCTTGGAATTTGAAGTGTATTAAGCAGAAACCAGAAAACAAATGCAGAGAGATGATTGGCAAGCCTAAGAGCTCAGGGAAAGGGATGGTGTAGATTCATTCGTTCGACTCACTAGCTAAACGAATAGTGTATAGATTTGATTTGGGAAGCAGGCTGCTTTCGTTGATTAGTTCCTCACTACCAACTTGACATTTCATGACAGCAAATTATCCCTGCTAGTCTCGAGGCAAATAGATGGAAAACCAGAATTCCTCCGGTCAAAAATCAAATGCCTGTTCTTTCTCCTTCTGCAATATTGACTTTAGAAAGAATCAAAATCAAAATAATGCTTCATCATTTTATGTCAGTATCACAGACTGTATCAAGCATGTGGCTATCGTATTCACAATCTATGGGCAGACAAGTCGATTGGAAACATTTCAAGCTTACAATCATATAACATAAAAATCAACTTATGTTTTGAATTTTTGTGTATTTGTAGAGTTGTATGGTTGTTACCACCATCTAAATTTTAGGATTTTATATAATTTTAAGCTCCTTTTCTGAAATTCTGTCCTTAGTGTTATCACTCAGTGTCTGCTTCACATCTTCATATGACGATCATCATTTAATATTGGGCTCTACAAAACTGACTTTTAGTTGACATTCCATATAAATGAGACCAAATGAAGCAATATCAGTTTTTTGTTGTTTTTGTTTTCATTTAGTTTATTTTTTTCACATATCCAGGTTGAATAAGGCAACCCAACAGGAGGAAAAGAATCCCAAGAGCAGACAGAAGGATGTTCTCAAATAAATAAATAAGTAAATAAATAAATAAATAAATGTTTCAAATGTTGATGAAATCCATTTCTTTTCTGTGTCCTTGTGCTTTGGCTTTGTGTCTAGGAAATTGTTACTCTTTTTTTTTCTCTGAGAATTCCATACATTTTAACTTTGTCTTTGATTTAAAGTTTCCTTATGATTAAAGAGCCCATCCCTTTGCGTGTGGTCACTGACATCACCTGGAGTGCCATGGAATGAGATGGCATCAGTCATTAGCTTTCTGAGTCACCCTGGTCCCATTTCCTGAAAGCTTTTGCTCTCTACATCGAAGGAAGGGTTTCTTTCTGGCCCCGAAATTACAGTCCATTTATCTTAGCTCGTCCCCTTCGGACTTGACAGGCCTAACTTCAGTGAGAGGAAGTGTGAATATTTCAATTTTATTCTTTCTCAATATAGTTTTGGTTATTTTTGAATCACTTATATTATCATATGAATTTTAGAACAGCTCAATTTCTGCAATTAAAGACATTTAGGAATCACTTCAAGTCTGTTCAAAGTGAACATCTTGCCATGGTAACAATCCGAGTAGTTGGGATTTCTTTCCATTAATTTGGGTTTTTAATCCTTCCTTCCTTCCTTCCTTCCTTCCTTCCTTCCTCCCTTCCTTCTTTTTTTTATTATTATTTTTTTTTAGATAGGCTTTCTCTGTGTAGCCCTGGTTGTCCTGGAACTTACTCTGTAGACCAGGCCAGCTTTGAACTCACAGAAATCAGCCTATCTCTGCCTCCTGAGTGCTAATTAAAGCCATACACCACCACTGCCCAGCTCTTTAATTTATTTTAATAACTCTGCTTGGTGTTTTTGTGGTATTCAGGTCTTAAATTAATTTTATTAATTTATTTGTATTTAAATTTTATACTTTATATTTTAAAAGTAAGCACTAAGTATTGATATTTTCAAATACAGAGAAATCAGACCATCTTTAAATTAAAATGGCAGGCCTAGTATATAACCGTGTTTCCAAATTGTGTTGGATTGAAGTAATATTAAATTTCTGACTATATTTTCTATAATACTTTCTAACTTTACCTCATACTTTATGGGGAATGTACTGTGTATGTTTATCTTATTGATTGTTAAATAAAGTTCTGTTTGGCCAATGAAACAGCAAGTTAGACAGGACTAGGAGTCAAAGAGGATTCTGGGAAATGTAGTAGAGAGGTGGTGATCCAGGCAGGAAATGTCATAGCAACGAGACTCATATTTAAGCAAAGGAAACAGGAAGGGTCCCTTTTTCCCTTCACTTCCTCCAGCGGCAAGAGAGGGCACCAGTGAAAGGCATCCTCTATAAGCTTTATAAAATATATAGATTTATGATAGTTAAGACTGAGCTAACAGATGAGAATCCTAGTCATTGGCCAAGCAGCTTTGTACCTAATAGAAGGCTGTGTATTATTTTGTCCATCCACGTGGAGGGCAGAACTCGGGCGGCTGGTGGAGACTGCCCACTTGGCAGTAGGGCTTGGGTGGCTTTGGCGGAAAGATTTATTGTAACACATATTTGTTTAGAATATTTCAGAAGTATAGCCTTCTTCTGTTTCAGACCTTCAGATAGTGTTTATGACAGGGTCTGGCTTCTCAAAATGAGTATGAATTCTTTGTTCATTCCTTTTTTTTTTTCTGAGACAGGGTTTCTCTGTGTAGCTTTGGAGCCTATCCTGGTACTTGCTCTGGAAACCAGGGTGGCCTCGAACTCACAGAGATCTGCCTGCCTCTGCCTCCCGAATGGTGGGATTAAAGGCATGCACCATCAATGCCCGACATTCTTTTTTTAAACTAAAAAAATTTACTGAAATAATTATTGATGCATATATAATTTTAAGAAGTAATATGAAGAATTTCTTCCTATACTTTCTCCAGTTGCTTTAATATAATTAGAATGACTTCTGATTGAGATATTGACATTGATACATCCCCTGAGCTTTCTGAGGTGCCATCAGTATTACTTTTACTCATTTGCGGCACAGGACTGATGCAAGGGATGCTGCGGCAAGACGCTGGTGATGGTGAAACAAATGAAATGTGAAGGAAGTACAGATTTATGGCATATCTTTGTGTATATTAGCACCTATGTTTTGTTAGAGAAATTCATGTATTTAAATTTTTTTAATCAAATGCCAGCTACACAAAACTATTTTGTATTTGTGCAAGTTCAGCAGAGATATTCATGACTCTAGTGTCCTCTTTAGAGTGCCTTTCTTAATCACAGTCTCTTATTAATAAATTAATAAATAAATAATTAATAAAATATTGTTAGCAGTGCTTACCATCTTGAGTTCTTACAGGGTGCAATAGTTTTATTTTTAAAAACTGCAGGCAATTAGAATCATATAGCATGTGGATTAGATAGTAAGTGTCCCCAGACTGTCCAGACGTGTTGAGTATTGGTCCCAGCTAGTGGAGCCAACCATTCAGAAGTGATCTTATCAGGTGGGCTCAAACTTCATTAATTTATCAGTCTAGTAATGGATTCATAATCTTATAGTGTTACTGGGAAGTGATGACAAGTAGGACATGAGATGTAGATGTGCTGTCCAAAGGTGTTTTGGTGTATCGGTCTCTCTTCTACCCTCTTGGGCTGCAACCAGGTGAATACAGATCCATTATAACATTCTACCACATTCTGCACATCCTCAGGACTGAGACTACAAAGTTAGCTAAAACAGTACTGTCAACTCTAAAACTGTGAACCAAAATAAACCCCTCCTCCTTTATTTTCCAGGGTGCTTTTCTCACAGCAATGAAACGTTAACTAACCCATAATATATGATGATTTGTAGTCATTTTTACTCTTACACTGTAAGATTCTTCCATATTCTGTATGCTGTTGGAGATTGTGTTTTATTGTGTGAAAGTGTTATGTCTAATTTATTCATTGTATTGGTTTGTGAGCATTGAGGTAGTTTTAAATATGAAGTTAATATTAATGCATCTGCTATCAATATTTCAGACCCTCTATTTTGCTAAGTTAAGTATACTCTTTGATGTATGTATTCCTAGGAGAGGAAGGTGTGTTGGGGGTATGCCCTTTATATTACTTTATTGTAAGCAAGGTGTGAAACAGTCTTAAAAATGCAATCACAGATTTGATATCATGAGTAAAGTACATTAAGATTTCCAAAAGCTGAGTTGCCAGATATTCTTCTGGAGAGCAAATGTACCTGCTGATAGTCATAGAATATTACAGATAGGTAGAAGGTGACAGTGTTGTTTTGAATATACTCTTGATTCTGAATAAGGCTTCTGGTGTATTTGTAAATATTTAGGAGAAGGTCTAAAAGAGAACTGAAGGGTTACTTCAAAACCTTTTTACTAAAAATTCTAAAAGTGTAGTCATTCTTTTAATAATTTGCAGTGATTGACTTTATGTTGATTTCAATTGTGGTTTGAGGTGGAGAAAGAAGTCACCCTCAGTGCTTTGACTGGACACCTTTTAAAGCCTAGGTCCTTTGTTGTAGAAAGATTTAATGTATTTGACTTGAGATGAATTCATTGTGTATCACTGCGGAAGAAGGTATAACAGTTTTATTTTTGGTTTTTCAATAGCATATTCCAGAAAACA